CTTCCTTTCTCTCCCCTCTGTGTCCCCAGCCCCTCTTTTTGACATTGTAATCTAGAGGGTACAGGGCTGAGCAGACCTGTCAGCCCCTTCAAGGCCAAACCTCAGAAACGGATGAGAGCCCACAAATAGTGGGTCATCAAGAGAAGCAAGACTCCCCCCTGGGACTCAGATCCCCAGATCAGTCAGTGGCCTCTCCTCCTCTATCCCCTCTTCCAGTTTCCCCTGCCCGTCACACCCGGTCATGGGGATGGCACGGGACCGGGCAGTGTTCCATTCTGCTGGGTATGGGGTCCTCAGGGGTTGGGGGCCGATGCGACGGCAGCCAACAACAGCAACGTTTTTTCACGTGGTGAATGCCCGTCTCTCCCGCGGGGGTGGAGCTGGTCGTCTCCCCGTCTGCAGTGCAGTGCCTGGCACATAGTTGTTGCTGTATGCCTTCGAATCGACTCTGACTCATGGTGACCCTGTGTGACAGAGGAGAACTGCCCCATAGGGTTTTCTTGGCTATAATCTTAATGAAAGCAGATCTCCAGGTCTTTCCCTCATGGAGTCGCCGAGTGGGTTCAAACTGTTGACTTTTAGGTCAGCAGCCGAGCGCTTAGCAATTGTGCCACCAGGACACATTAAGAAAACCAACAAGCTGTTGTGTCGAGTCAATTCCGACTCATAGCGACCCTACAGGACAGAGTAGAACTACCCCATAGAGTTTCCCAGGAGCAGCCGGAGGATTTGAACTGCCGATCTTTTGGTTAGCAGCCGAGCTCTTAACCACTGTGCCAGCAGGGCTCCTCCCAGGGAGCATAATAGGTGCTAAATGAATGTTTGTTGAGTGATTGCAAGATCCCAGGGACTCCAGAGAGGGCTTCAAAGAAGTGGTGACATGTGACCTAAAGCTTGAAAGATGAGTTGCATTTTCAGGCAGGAGAGAGAGAACAGAAAGTGCAAAGGCCAGGAGGGTGTGACGGCGCCTGGCTGGTGTGGGGAACTTCCGTCTTGTGGGTGGGGGCTGCTCACCAAGCACCACTGAGACCCACAGGTAACTGGAGAGGAGTAGACACGGCACAGGACCCCAGTTCTGTCCCCAGGGTGGCCTGTTGGCTCAGCCTTGGGAGCCACCCCTCAGCCTTCAGCCCTGGCCCAGTGTTCAGGTTCTGACCCCAGTGGCCTCACCCACCGTGGACACACAGCCCTAACCCTGGGAACTCTCCAAGGTCCTGACCTCCCGTCAGGCAGGGGTGAGCCCTGCCATCCCAGGGTTTTCAGAGGATCCCTGCCCTAATGCTGAGTTCCATGTCACCCGCTAGAGGCTTTGGGCCACCCACTCTGTCCTCTGATTTGGAGCCCCCAGGACCTACCCAGACTGACAGAAGGCACAGAGGGCCTTCCCTCACCCTCAAATCCATTTTTAGATGCTCCAAAGGCCTCTTACAAGGCTGCAAGGAAAGGGGTGTCACCCTGGATCCTGGGTGACAGGGACATAGGCAGGCGCCTGGACTCTGTGTGCCCTGCACTCACATCTGAGTTGCCAAGTGGGACCACTTGGCTCACCACTGCTGTCAGGCAATTCCCGGGCTGCTCAGCTAGGGGTTTCTGGGCACAGGAATCACTTCCAAAATCCTCAGACCCTCTGGGCTTCCGTGAGGCCCAAATCCACCCAGCAACATCCAAGTCTCCTCAAAAGCTTGGTGAGAGCAACCAAGAGACATGACTCTTTTTGAAAGGAAAAGGGTGGCAATAAATCTTGCCCAGCTGCCACACCAACCACGCCTCCAGAGGCTTCGGCCCAGGGGAATTCTCTTTCCTACCATGGCTACAGCAGACCCTGCCGGCCCCGACTTCCTCTCCATCAGCAGAAAGAGGAAGAACGATTGTCCAGCAAAATCCTTTTTGCTCAGCCCCCATTTTGGTGGCCAAATTTCCAACACAAAAGGCAAAAAGACACAGAAAGGACCCTCTGAGACTGGGTGTAGACAGAACCCAAAATTTAGAGAAAGGTAGATCTGGGTGAGGGTTCCAGATCCACCACTTATGAGTCTCTGGGCCTCGGTTTCCTCATCTGTGAAATGGGGATGATAATTTCTACATCCTGGGAATCATGTGGGAATTAAACGAGAAAGTATATCTGAAAGGCAGGCCCTGGGAACAGTTTATCATTATTGTATGTGAATGTGAACATCGCTCCAACCTCGGCTTCTGTCAACACATCTTTTTTCTGCCTCTGACCCTCCTGCCTCCCTCTTATAAGGACCCTTGTAATGACACTGGGCCCACCCGCATAAGCCAGGATAATCGTCCTATCACAAGATCCTTAAACTAATCTCATCTGCAAATTCCCTTTTACCATTTAAGGTAACATAGCTACAGATTGTGAGGATTAGGACATGATATTTTTGGGGGTCCATCAGTCAACTCACCACACCAACTTGGCCACCTCTTCTTGCACCCTACTCCCCCTTGCTTATTTCTATCTGACCCAGGGGGTCTCCTTTTGGTTCCTGAAACTCACTAGCCATTTTTCCACCTCAGGGCCTTTGCACCTGCTGGTCCTTCTGCCTGGAATACTCTTCCTTCCCCTGGCATTCTTAGGGCTGACTCTTCACATCACTCAGATGTTGGCTTAAATGTTATCCCCTCAGAGAGGTCTTCCCTTTCCTCAAAGTCTCAGCCAGCCACCCCCTCATTCTCTGTCACCCACCCCCTCGTCATCCGCAGAGCATCTCTGATCTCTAGCTGATGTTTTTCCTCATTCACTTATTTTCCTACTGTTCTCACAACAGTGAGCACTCCCTGAGGGCAGGGTCCTGTCTGCTGCCTCACTCACTGCTGCACCTTGATGCCTAGCATGGAGGAAGGCATACAGTAGGTGCTCAAATCCTGCCCCAGAAGCCTGAGAACACTCCCTCCCTCTTTCTCAGTTTCACTTCTGTTTGTTTTGGCTTTGATTTTTTGTTTTTTTGTTTTTGTCACTTCTCACTTGAGGGAGGGAGAAAGAGCCCAGACTTGCAATTCCTTTCAGGGAAAGAAGGAAATGACCCACAGGGCCTGGGCCCAGCAAGGCCAGGGCAGGGGTCATGCCTGCCACATCCCCTGAGTCAGGACCAGCTTCCAGATCAGGATCCCTGACCCCCGCCCTGCCATTCCCTGCTCCAAGCCTTTGTCCACTGCCGTTCTCCTGCTGGAACACCTGCCCTTCCTACATCCTATTTCAAAGGGCTCCAGATATCTTCCCATTTGACCCCCTCATTTATGACTGAGGAAACTGAGGCCCAGAGGAGGAAGGGTCTCCCCCAGGCACATGGCATCTTCATTCTAGTGGCCTGCTCCAGCGTTTCTTTCCCACTCCCCGTAGGGTCCCACTTCCTCCTGGGCCAGAGGCCAGTCCGGAGGGTGGAGGCCTGGATGCTAAGGTCAGCTTTCACTGAGTCCACGGGCGCCAGTGGCTCAGGGGAAATGTTACCAGAGTTTAGAAATTCCTGTGCTGTACAGAGATCCAGCATCCTCCTTGGGCTGGGTGGGGGACAGCTGGGGGAGGAGTCCTCATTCGGCACCCCGTGGGCTCCTGTCTCCTGCAGGCACAAGCCCTGGTTCCCGCTCCCATCCACCCACCCTCTACTCCTGCCCCATCCCAGGAGCCACAGGTCAGTGACACAGGGACCCAGGATGCACGGCTTGATGGGGTCAGGGCTGAGAGGGCACAGTGATGGCCAAGGTCACAGCCTCTGCCCCCTGTGGGGCAGCAGGGAAAATCCCTATTCCTGGAATTCAGGATGAAGCTGGCCCTGGTCACTGGGAGACCTCAGCTCCTGGCCCAGGGTGATCCTAAGTGCCAAGGCTCCAAAGGCACGCGATCTGTTCAGTTGCACAGGGTTCTGAGCTTAGAAGGTCCTCAGGCTTAGTTTAATGCTCTGCTGTCTCCATCTTGAACTTCTCAATAATATTTGACAAAGGCTTGTGTTTTCATTTTGCACTGGTCCCCGCAGATTATGTAGCTAGTCCTGCAAGCCCAGACTCTCACCCTTTTACCCCCTTCCTCCTGGAAAGAAGCAGATGCTCATGACGTTGGTTGCCATGTTGACTGTAGGTGCCACCCCTGCCCTTGTGACAGCTCCTAAACCAATCACTTCTGGTGACTCTGGGGTCAGGGCCTGACCCTCTGGCTTAAGACGTGGGTTTTGAGCATCAAAATAAAGCTGCCACAAGGACTTTCAGGCTGGCTAGGGGGGGCATTTGTGTTCAAAGGGAGCCTTTTAAGTCCTACCCCATGGGAGCTGCTAAGGCAAGGAAAGGCAGTAGGAAAGAGCATGAACTTGGGGGTCAGACAGACTCAGAAATCCTGACTCTGCTCCTTGCAGGCTGTATGATCTCAGGAACATTGCTAAACATCTCTGTTCCTCAGTTCATCCATAAAATGAGGATTCTACTTGTACCTACCTCGAGGGCTGTTGGGTAGATTAAATGAGAGAACACACGTAAAGTGCTTGATATGGTGTCAGGCAAACAATAAGCACACAAGAAACTTTGGTCTTTGAAATCAGTCAGACTTGGGTTCCATTCTGAGCCCTACCAAGTACTTCAGGGTGAACTTAATTTCTCTGTGCCTCGGTTTTCTCATCTGTAAAATAGGGGTAACCTGAGGGCCTATGGCACAGGGCTTTGAGAGCTACCATCAGCACAGCATCAGCATCGTCTCCTCCTCTGTGAAACCCTTCTAAAGCCCCAGGATGGGCCAGGCCTCTTCTCTGCGCTCCCAAACCCACTGTGCTTGCTTCCATCTGAGCACACGTGACAGCACCAGGCTGGAATTGTTTCTGTGTCCGTCTTTCCCCCACTCCAGACTGGGAGCTCTTTGTGGGAAGTAGCAGGGTCTGGTCTCACTGGTATCAGCAGAAAGTGAAGGATGAAGGGGTAAACAGATGAAAGAATTTCAGTTCTCACTGGGAGCTGTCCACACCCTAGGGCAGTGACCACCGTCCCCTGATGTTGACTCTCCTCTTTCCCAGGTCTGTCCCTCTGGGAAGATACAGATGCTCAGGATGCTGGTCGCCACGTTGGGCACTTGCCTGGGCCTGCTCGCAGCAGCTGCAGCAGCCACAAGTGCTAACCCGGCCCAGCTAGATACCTCCAGCATGATGTCCTCCCACCGGCGCCAGAAGAGAGACTGGATTTGGAACCAGATGCATATTGATGAAGAGAAAAACACCTTGCTTCCCCATTATGTGGGCAAGGTAAGGCTCAAGCTCCAGAGCAGGAGAGGCCTTCAGCAGCCAGCCCATAGTGATAGCGGTAATGATGACGGTGGTGATAATAATGGTAAAGATGGCAATAGATATCATGGTGGTAGGGGTGGAGATGATAGTTGCGGGGTGATGGTAATAGTGCTTGAGATGATGATGATGGTAGATGTGGTGGTGGAGGTGGAGGTGGTGGTGGTTGTGATAAGAAATGGGAAGGCAGGGGTGATGACAGTGGTGGTGATGGTGGTGGTAATGGTGGTGATGTTGATGGTAGTCACGGGTGTGGTTAGTGATGGTGATCATGAAGGTGGTGATGGTGGTGGTGGTGATGGCTGATGGTGGTAGTGGTGGTGGTGGTGGTGATAGTGATGGGAGTAGTGATGGTGGTCACAGGTGTGATGATAGTGATAGTGATGGTGATCATGGAGGTGGAAGTCGTGATAGTGGTGATGGTAGTGGTGATGGTGGTAGTGATGATGAACACAATGGTTCATTTTCTCCCAGACCTTTGTCCGTTAACTAGGTATTGCTAGTAGAAGGGTCATCCCTTACACAGGCTGAGGAGGCAAGCCTGGCCTGGGAGCTCAGGACTTGGGACAGAAGCAGCGAAGCTGCCATTAAGTTTTTCCATCCAGAGAGGTCAGAGATACAGTAAGCCCGAGAGAATGGGGAAAGCTTGTGAAGCCTCCTACAAAATTGTGCTGGTGACAAAGTGAATTATCTAGGCCATAGTTTGCCCACTCTTGGTCTAGGCCTCTAAACTCCTCAAAAACCCCTTTCTCTCAGATGATCTCCCCCAGGTTTCCTGTGACCCCACACAGCTCCCCAGATTCCAGGAAGCCCAGAGCAATGTGCCTAACCAAAGCCTGACCTTCAGGCCAGTGCCTAAGGCTGTAACCCTTATTTTATCCCCCTTTAAGGCTTGTCCATCCCAAGCCCCCCTTCGTAGAACTTGGAGCTAATCTGAGTGACTATCAAATTGTCTTACTGTGTCAAACTGTTGTTGATGTCAAAACTTTCCTAAGTCTTTGTACAACAAAAACTATAAAACACTGCTGAAAGAGATTTAAAAAGAAATAAATGAAAAGATGTTCATGGATTGGAAGACTTAATACTGTTAAGATGTCAATACTACCCAAAGCAATCTATAGATTCGACACAATCCCAATTAAAATTCCAACAGCCTTCTTTACAGAAATAGAAAAACCAATCCTCAAGTTTACATGGAATGGCAAGAGGCCCCAAATAGTTAAAACAATATTGAAAGAGAAGAACAAAGTAGGAGGACTCACACTTTCTGATTTTAAAACATACTATACAGCTACAGTAATTAAAATAGCCTGGTACTGGTATAACAATAGACACATAGACCAATGGAATAGAATTGAGAGTCCAGGAATAAACCCACACATCTATAGTCAACTGATTTTTGACAAGGTTGCTAAGTTCATTCAGTGGGGAAAGAAGAATCTCTGCAATAAATGCTGCTGGGAAAATTGGATTCCACATGCAGAAAAATGAAACAAGATCCATGCCTCACACCATACACAAAAACAAATTCCAAATGGGTTAAGGACCTAAATGTGCAAACTAAAACCACAAAATTCTCAGAAGAACAAGGAGGGGCAACGCTGTCAGGCCTAGCTTTCAACAATGGATTATCTATTATAATAACAAAGGCACAAACAGTAACAGACAAAATAAATAAATGCGACCTCATAAAAATTAAAAACTTTTGTTCATCAAAAGACTTTACAAAAAAAGTGAAAAGACAAGCTACTGACTGGGAGAATATCTTCGGAAACCATATATCCAACAAGAATCTAATAACCAAAATACATATAAAACTTCAATGACTTAACAACAAAAAGACAAACAACCAATCATAAAATGGGCAAGGGACTTGAAAAGACATTTCACCAGAGAGGACATTCAAATGGCTACCAAACACATGAAAAGATGCTCAGCGTCATTAGCCCCCATTGCCGTCAAGTCGATTCCAACTCATAATGATCCTATAGGCAGAGTAGAACTGCCCCATAGGGTTTTCAGGGAGTGGCTGGTTGGTTTGAACTGCTGAGCTTTTGGTTAGCAGTTGAGCTCCCATTAGCCATCAGAGAGATGCAAATCAAAACCACAATGAGATACCATTTCATTCCCACTAGGACGGCTAAGGGAGCCCTGGTGGTACAGTAGTTAAAAGCTCAGCTGCTAACCAAAAAGTCAAAAGTTCAAATCCACCAGCAGCTCCTGGGAAACCCCATGAGACAGTTCTACTCATCAAAATCAACTCACAATGTGTTTGGTTTTTTTGGTTTAGGAAGGCTAAGATAAAAAAATAAAAATAAAAATAACAAATTTTGGCAAGGATGTGGGGAAATTGTAACCCTTATCCACTGCTTGTGGGAATGCAAAATGGTATAGCTGTTGTGTAAAACAGTGTGGCAGTTCCTCAAAAAACTAAAAATAGTACTACCATATGACCCAGCAATTCCACCCCTAGGTATATACCCAAAAGACTTGAATGCAGAGACTCAAAAAGAGACGTATACACCAATGTTCACTGTAGTACTATTCACAATAGCCAAAAGGTGGAAACAACCTAAATGTCCATCAACAGATGAATGGATAAACGAAATGTGGTACATGCATCCAGTGGAATACTACTCAACCAGTAGGAGAAATGAAGTCTTGATACATGCTACCGTATGGATGGAGCTTAAAGACATTATGCTGAGCAAAATAAGCCAATCACAAAAGGACAAATATTGTATGACCTCACTTATATAAAAAGACAAGAAAAGGCAAATGTATAGAGACCAAAGTTTGTTAGTGGTTACTGAGGCAGGAGGGTGAGGGGAAAAAGGGGGTTAAAGGTGATGGAAAAACCACATTGATTAAGAGTATTACACAGCCAATTACTGTAATTGCTGTCAATAAATTGTACATCTGTAAAAAGTTGAACGGGCAAAGGTTGTGTGATGGATACATTAAAAAAAAAAAAAAACTATCCTAAGTGTTACCCGAATAGGGTCCATGCCCTGGAGCAGTCAAGCCAGTGAAACATACTCCAAGTCAGAAAGAGTGAGAAAGTTTTAATTGAGGATGCATACACCACCCGGGATCTGATAACAACACAGGCTGTCTCTATGGAGTCCCAAAAGGCATTTTTACATTAGAGTTTATATGAGATTTTTACAAAGGTTAGAAGTATTGTTATACATTGTAAGGTAATTACAAGAGACTCTTTATCATACTAAAGAGATACCTGCCAGACATTTCCATATCTGACATCTGGGCCCTAATCTTTCTGTGGGGGGTCGTAAGCCACAGGTGGCCGGACAGAGCAAAACAAAGTTATTAACAAAGGTATGCGAAAAGGAGAAGGCAAAGAAAAAAAAAACTTACAGGTTTATCATGGCGTTAGTGATGCCAAGCTCTCAGTCGCCCATTCTGAAAGGGAGAAGATATGCTGTGGAGTATTAGGGTCACATAAGTCAAAGAAATAGCCCTAGTGGTGGAATTTCACAACAATCACAGGTAGATGTAGGGGGTATTTTGAGAGTTTTCAATGAGAAGGAAAGTTTCTTTCAAGGGCATTAAAATCTCACCAGGTCAGCTTCTTGGAACCAAAATGTCAGCTCCAAGAGAAAATGGATCAGTGCTGGTAAGAGGAAGCTGTCTTAGTCATCTAGTACTTCTCTAACAGAAATACCACAAGTGGATGGCTTCAACAAAGAGAAATTTATTCTCTCACAGTCTAGTAGGTTACAAGTCCAAATTCAGGGCGTCAGCTCCAGGGGAAGGCTTTCTCTTTCGGCTCTGGAGGAAGGTCCATGTCATCAGTCTTCCCTTGCTCTGGGAGCATCTCAGCGCAGGAACCTCAGGTCCAAAGGGCACGCTGTGCTCCTGACACTGCTTTCTTGGTGGTATGAGGTCCCCAACTCTCTGCTTGCTTCCTTTTCCTTTTATCTCTTGAGAGATAAAAGATGGTGCAGGCCACACCCCAGGGAAACTCCCTTAACTCCCTTTACATTGGATCAGGGATGTGACCTTAGTAAGGGTGTTACACAATCCCACCCTAATCCTCTTTAACATAAAATTACAATCACAAAATAGAGGATAACCACACAATTCTGGGAATCATGGCCTAGCCAAACTGATACACACATTTTTAGGGGGACATAATTCAAACCATGACAGAAGCACAGTGCTAAGTGCCGTGCTGGGTACTGGGAGACAATAGTGGACAAAGACAGGCATGGTCCCTGCCCTCATGGAGTTTGTGGTCTAGAGCAGGGGTCAGCAAACTATGACCTGTAGGCCAAATTCAGCCCACCACCTGGTTTTGTAAATAAAGTTTTATTGAAACACAGCAAAGCCCATTCGTTTACAAATTGTCTATGGTTGCTTTTGTGCTATAATGTCAGAGCTGAGTAGCTGTGATAAAGAACTTACGGCCTGCAAAGTCAAAAATATCTATTATGTGGCCCTTTACACAAATAGTTTGATAACCTTGGTCTAGAGGGACAAGCACACATCAGACAAAGAATCCCACAAACAGCTAGTGGTGATGGGGGAGCCCTCTGATCATAGGCAAAGAGGCTAGAGAGAACCCTTTGAGGGGAGGGTCCAGTCTTGTCTCTGCACCAGAAATGCCATAGAAGGAAGGGCTTGCTGGGGAATTTCCACTCACAGCCCCACCCACAGCCAGCTAACTATGACCCTGAATCCTCCCAGGAATGACTGGGAAATTTAAATCCTTCAACATGGCCAGTCAGAAACCCAGGCCCAGAGAGGGGAAGACACTTGCCCAGGGGCACACAGTGAGGCCAGGACAGAGCCCTAGGAGAACCAAGCCCTAGGAGAACCAAGGACTCCTGACCCCTGACATGAATGTGAACTCCATGTCATAGAGGAAAAGGTCATCGACGCACCTGTGTCCCTCCCAGTGGAATAACTGTGCCATGACTCAACCTCTTTAGAAAATTTATGGTGAGTCAGTGAGAGTCAGCGGAAAGTGGGGGCACCTGCAATATGCACAGCCCTGCCAGGCAGCCTCAGGAAGGCTCACCCGAGGATCTAGAGCAGCCGGAAGAGCGTCAGGCCTGGCGTCACTCACCAGCAGCATTCACTTGGCACCAGATGTGGAGCCAGGGTTGGGGATAGAGGAGCCACAGGCAGTCCCCACCTTGGGGTGGCACAGGGGCACCTGGGAGAGGCAAGGACAGGGCTCCGAGGGTCACTTCCAGATCCCAAGAATGTAATGCGAGGGAAGGAAGTCCCTGTTTATTGAGGCCAGAGCCCCAAGCCTTTGTTTACAGACCTGGATGGACAATGGGAGCAGGGCTGAGAAGGCTTTTTAGTCCACCAGTATGGGTCATCGCGGCTTTTGGCATTAAGACGTTACGTCCAATTATAGTGATATTAAAACAATTGAAAGGAAGGAGAGCAGAAACTTATATTCAAATGAAATTTTATGCAGAACTCCAATAAAACAGATCAAAATTGCCTTGCTCCCCGTTACCACCCTGTCCACATGGGTCTGAAGGCACTCGCCCACCCAGAACCAAGTTTGAAAACTGCCATCTTATTCTAACTCCGAGTGGCCACACATGACTCTGGCCTGTCCCTCTCCCCAGTGTCCTCACCATTCCCCCAGGCAACAAGTTCATTGCCCCAACTCTATCCTTCCTTCTTGCCTCCCATCCAGCTGGTCATCATATGTCCTGACCACTGGGCATTGGGACCTCTTCATGACCACCTGACCCTGCACACCACAGCCCTGCTCCAGGGTACTTGGCCACCTCCAGCTGCTGCCCCCTCTCTCCCACTGTCTCATGGAAGGTCCTCACTCCCTGACTCCACTTCCTCTCCCCGCTTCTCTCCTGAGAACCCACTCTCTCCAGGTTCTCTTCCAGCCTCTCTAATGGTCTTCATCAGACACCTCACTCAAGGCTCTTGCTCCATCTGAGCCTTAAATGCTGCCCTTCCTCAGAGTCTCAGTCTCTGAGGCTTCAAACATAGGCTCTGAGAGTAATAACACAGTCTGTACTGTCTCGGTTCCCAGTGCCTGGAGTGGGGCCTGGCATCTTGAAGACATCAAATTTATTTTTGTTTAATTGAATTGAATTATATCCTTCAGACATTCTAACATTCTGTGAGCATACTATTGTACATGCATGATATACTATTATCCTCTTGCTACTGTCGTTAGCTGCCATAAAGTCAGCCCCTGACTCATGGTGACCCCATGTACAATGGAACAAAATGCTGCCCAGTCCTGCCCCACTCCCATGACTGACTGCACATCAGACCATTGTGATCCATAGGGTTTTCACTGGCTGATTTTTGGAAGTAGATCACCAGGCCTTTCTTCCTAGTCCATGTTAGTCTAGATGTTCCACTGAAAGTTGTTCAGAATCATAGCAACACGCCAGGCTCCAGTGACAGATCGGTAGTGGCTGCACATGAGGGACGTTGGCCAAGAATCGAACCTGAGTCTCCTGTATGGAAGGCAAGAATCCTACCACTAACCACTTATGTTCCTAATATTCTCTGATTTTAAGATTCTATACATGGAATGTTCAGCAACTCTAAACTTCTAATATCCTTTAACTTGTGGCTCTATCATTAATAATAATAGCATTTATTGCAAACCTGTTTTGTGCAAACTGCTTTACATAATTTTCCAAATGATGTAACACCAATAGTGCATGTTACAAAGAAAAAGTGTTCCATAGGAAAATAAGTATGGGAAGTCTGAGTTAAAGAAAGGTCACTGGAGTTTTTTTCTCAGAATTATACATAGCAAATCTCCAAGAAGAGGACGTATTATGCACCATTCCAAATCTAAATTGACCAGGACCAGTGGTGCACTGATAAATATTTGACAACTGGCTCTCCAGGGGGAAAGGCCCAGATTTATAGTACTTGCTGATTACCATGGTGTAAATACTCCCACCATGTCTGACTTCAAGCTACCAACATGATGTCACTGAAGACAGAGTTGGGAAAAGATGTGCATTAGCACATCATTTTGTATTTCCATCATATGGATACAATAGACATGAATAACCTCAAGAATATAAATAATAGTAAACTGTTGTAAAATAATTAGGAAGGAATGAATTTTGAGCATATGTTACCTTTGGGTTTTTTTTATTTGTTGTTGTTGTTGAAAATATACACAGCAAAACACACCAATTCAACCATGTCTACATTTACAATTCAGGGACACTGATTACAGTCCTCGAGTTGTACAAACATTCTCACCCTCCTTTTCTGAGTTGTTCCTCCCCCACTGACATAAACTCACTGCCCCCTAAGATTTCTATCTAATCTTTCAAGTTGCTATTGTCACTTTGATCCCATATAGATAGTTCTCAAAAGAGCTCAACACCGAGGCAGACATTTTTTACTAGTTTAGCTAAACTACTGTTTGGTTTTTAGAAGACTTCGGGGGGTATTTTTGGTTTACGGTTTAAAGATTATCTCAGGGTAATAGTTTCAGGGGTTCATCCACCCTCCATGGCCCCGAAAGTCTGGAGTCTACGAGAATTTGAAATTCTGTTTTGCATTTTCTCCCTTTTGATCAGGATTCTTCTATAGAATCTTAGATCAAAATGTTCAGTAATGATAGCTGGGCACCATCCAGTTTTTCTGGTCTCATGGCAAGGAGGCAGTTGTTCATGGAGGTAATTAGCCACACATTGCATCTCCTCCTCCTATTCCTGACTCTCCTTCGTCTGATGCTCCAGGTGAGTGCAGACCAATTGTCACGCCTTGGATGGCCGCTTGCAAGCTTTTAAGACCCCAGGCACTATGCAAAGAACTAGGAAGTAGAACAGAAGCACTAAAAACGTTATTAGGCCAATGACCTGGGATGTACCTGAAACCATGACCCAAAACCTCCAAACCAAGGAACCGAATCCCGCGAGGATTTTAGTTGTACATAGCAGTCTCAGAAGTTACTCCTTTTTTTTGTCATTGTAACTTTGTTTTTAATATGTTTTATTGAATTATAAGTTCATATAATTTAATCTTTAATAATGGCTATGTTTAACAAACAGTTTACAAAAATTCCTGAAAATTTAAGTAGGCTCTTACAAGCCAAGCCAGTACAAGCTAGCTCCACTGACCCAGTCATCATTTTGTGTGGAACATCGAAAGAGATCAGTCTTTTCCTTGACCTCTCTTTCAAAAATGCTGTTCTGCTCATTAGAGCAATTCAGCATCAGAGGCAATATTATCTCCATTTTACAAATGAGGTAACTACAATTCAGAGAAGTTAAGTGACTTAAAAGGGTCAAAAATACCCCCGCTTTTCTGCTCCAAAACCCTTGCCTTCCAACGACACCAAGTACATTCTTTCACTCAAAAAATGTTTCCTGAGCACCTACTATGCTCCAGACGCTATTGTAGGCATACTGGGGCAGTGTGCCAGGCACTCACAGTAATGTGAAGTTTGCAGTGACCAGGCCAAGAACAACTCATTGCTGACCAGCCAGAGGTTCTTGTCAGTGAAACTATTCTGCATGATTGTAATGGTGGACACATGGCATTATGCATTTCTCAAAACCCACAGGACTATACAACCCATAGGACTGAACCCTAATGTAAACTATGAACTTGAATTAATCATAATGTATCAATATGGGTTCATCAGTTGTAACAAATGAACCACATCAGTGCAAGATGCTGATAATAGGAGAAACTGGGGGCAGGAGGAGAGGGGGTATTTAGGAGCTCTCCATACTTTCTGCTTAATTTTTCCATAAACCTAAAACTGTTCTAAAAAATAAAGTCTATTTATTAAAAAAAAACCTTGCTGTGTCACCTTTAGGATCTCCTGGCGAGCCCACACACACATACACACGCACACAGACATGCCTCCACACATGGACACATGCACACACAGCCACCACTGCCCATTCCCAGCTCATAGCACCTCTTCTTTCCTAGATCAAGTCAAGCGCGAACAGCAAGAACGCCAAGTACCTACTCAGAGGAGATTCGGCCGGCAAGGTCTTCCGAGTCGATGAGAAAACGGGGGACGTGTATGCCTTTGAGAGGCTGGACCGGGAGAAGATCTCTGAGTACCACCTCGTTGCCCTTATTGTGGACAAGAACACCAATAAGAACCTGGAGCCTCCTTCCAGCTTCACCATCAAAGTCCATGATGTGGATGACAACTTGCCTGTGTTCACGCGCCAATTATTCAATGCGTCTGTGCCTGAGATGTCGCCTGCGGGTATGTGTCTCTCTGTCCCTCTCCCTCCTCCTTCCCTCATTCCCAGCCTGCAGGCACTTCTCACATCTGCTGCTCTACTGCCTGAAGTTAGGATTCAATGAGTTCAAGCCAAGGCAGTGATCTTAATACTTTATACAGCTTGAAAGAAACTCTGGGCCCTAGACTAAGTTCTGACCTGGCGCCAGAATGAGCCTTGACCCTAGTCATAGATTAAGCGCTGATACTAGCCCTAGACTGAGCCCTAACCCTACTCATAGACTGAGCCCTGACTCTAGACATAGACTGAGCCCTGATCCTGATCATGGACAAAGCCATGACCCTGGTCATAGTCTGAGTCCTGATTCTGATCACGGAGTGACCTTTGACTCCTATTTCCGACTAAGACCTGACGACCCTTATTATTGACTAAGATCTGATCCTGGTCTGCAGTCTGAGTTTGTACCCAGTCCCAGGCCAAGCCCTGACCATCAGAGACACACCATGTCTGATAACTCTTGGGGCAAACTCCACCCACTTCTTTTGACCCTCAGGACTGGCATGCCAAGAGCGTAAACATTGCACATTAAAAGTGTCAAGCCCTGCCACCAAGGCAAGAAAGGCCATCTCTAAGGGCCATGCAGGGGTAGGGAGGACAGGTGTGAGCAGCCAGAGCTCTTGACACAGAGTATGTCACCAGCCTGGCCCCGGGACTCGGGTGGTTACTACTCCTTCCTCAGCCCTCCCCTGGCCTCCAGGGGATGCCAGAAAAGGGGTGCCCTCCCTACCCCCTCATCCCAGGGTCCCTGAAAAGGGCCCTGGGACCAGCCAGGCCTTCCTGTTAAGTATGAGGACCCTGGAGTTGAAGGGAACAAAAGATGTGGTGCCCACCACTTTGGAAGCATCTCCCCATTGCCTTATACTCAGCCTTCCAGAAGCGAGAAGAAACAGCCCATTACACCCCTCAGTTTCTCCTCACGATCCCAACTATCCGCCCTCTCCTTCAATTTCCCCATAGACGCAAACCACCTGTTTTCTTGGCCCCCTTCAAGGCTAACAGGGCTGCCCTCCCTCCCTCCTGCTGAAGCACTTGGCCCCTGTTACAGCCTCCTCAGAAAACAAAGCAATCTTTTCTCCCTTGGGGCCTAGCGGAGCAGGAACAGCCTTATCCCATCTGCTCCTATCCAGGAACTGGGTGCAGGACTGGCAGTCACAAGGCAGCACCCCTGGGGATTCTCTCTCTGCAGGAACCTCAGTCATTCGTGTGACAGCAGTGGACGCAGATGACCCCACGGTGGCAGACCACACCACTGTCATGTATCACATCCGGAAAGGAGACGACAAATTTAGCATCAATGATTTCGGTCTGTGTGACTCACCCTCCTGGGCAGGCACTATCTGGGGGTGGGGGGAAGGAGCATTCCAGGTGCAGGTGCTGAGGGACGTCCAGTCTGGCAGGTGATACCTGGCTTCTAAAAGGTTTGCCAACCATGGGGTGGTTGGGATCAAGCATTAAGACAAGGTGGCTGGTGGGAGGAGAGGGAAACAGACAGGTGCCCAAGACATGGATTCAAGTCCAGGGAACAAAATCCGGATCTTATTACCCAAGCAGTGATACAAGAGGTAGTAGAGAATGCTGTTAGCAGCTCTGGTACTGGTTCAGACACACCTGGTTTCCAAACCCAGCTCTGCTACTCACCACCTCTAGAGACCTCGGGCAAGTCCATTAACTCCTGTGAATCTTAGTTCCCTTACCTAGAAAATGGATATGTTTATATTTATCTTGCATGGTAGCTGTGAAGTTTGACAGCTAATGTATGGAGAGACCTTGGCCCATAGTAATTGTTCAACCAATGTGACTTAACAGAAAACTGTAAGGAGTGAGCCTTGAGAGAAAGACAGAAGTCCAGTTGACCAGACCCGGGCACATTGTCAGATATGTAGCAGAGATACCACCAATATCCTATGGTGTGCCAAGGGAGACATCACTAATCCATTACAGCATTCTTTCACCTTGAGCCTAGATGGGGCCTCATGAGCTTTCTCAACACAATGCTCCAGGTTGCTAGGACTAGGCTTGGACCGAACCGTTTGGCCAGCTTGGGCCCAGCAGTGCAGGGCATGGAGATGGTGGGTTTAGACCAGTGGTCTCAGCCCTAACTGCGCCTTACAATCACCTGGGGAGTTCTTAAGTCAGGTTCTCTGGGGGTGGGTCCCAGTCATCAGTGTTTTTTAAAAAGTTCCCTGAGTAACATGGATCCTCCTGGGACACTTTCTGCAGGAGTCATTTCCACGAAAACTGCACATTTGGACCGAGAGACACAGGCCAAATACGAGATAGTGGTGGAGGCACGAGATGCCCAGGGCAAGCAGGGGGAGTCGGGCACGGCCACCGTGCTGGTCACTCTGCAAGACGTCAACGACAACTTCCCCATCTTCACCCAGGGTGAGCTCCTCCCCCTGGGCCCTAGGTGGGGGGCTGAGCGGTGGAGTGCTCCAGACTCCATGACTTGGGGGCCTGTCCACTCCCATGGTGGGCCTTAGGTCCAGGGAAGTCCTGTGTTGCAGGAAGGGAACCTGCTCCCCATCCCCCCAACACATCCCCAAGGTTTCCAACTGCCCCCGCTATGACCCCTCACTGCCCAAAGGAGACGCACACTCTCTACTCTATGCCCCCACTTTGCCCAGAGCCCAGCTACCAGGTAGGAGCAGTCTCACCCAGTTCCTGTGAGATCAGACCCAGGCCATTAGCTAGAAAATCCCCATGAGCCAATGAGCTGAGGCACAGCAAAGCTCCACCCCTAGAGCCTGGGCTGAGCCCGGGCCCACTTGCAGCCTGATTCTTCAAAAAAAAGTCTGACAAAACCTTTTCACATGTCTTGTGGGGGCTGGGAAGGAAAGCAAATGACTCAGCTCACTTGCACCCTCTAGTGGCCTGGTTGTGCATGTGCAAGCTCCCTGAAGGCAAGGCTTTTCTCGCTGGTCGATTGATTCATCCTCTAGGCCCTAGCAAAGTGCCTGGCATACAATATGTGTTTAATAACTACTTGTTGGTTGCATGGAGGGAGGGATGGATGGACAGACAGCAGAACCTCTTTGCCTTGGGATCCAGAATAGTACCCAGGGGTACTATTATTATTACTATTACTATTCTTATTGTTATTATCCTCATCATCATTATTTTACTGTACCCATTATCTGTATCAAAATGTATTAGAATAATATGAAAGGACAGTCACTTTGTCTATCTCATTAACTCAATGCCCTTTGGGGTGACCTATTTGCATCAGCCAAGTACACATTTGCCGTGCCTGAAGACATCCGCGTGGGCAGCCCCCTGGGCTCAGTGTTTGTTGAGGACCCAGACGAGCCCCAGAATCGGATGACCAAGTACAGCATCGTGCAGGGCGAGTACAGGGACACCTTCACCATCGAGACGGACCCCACCCGCAATGAGGGCATCATTAAGCCCATAAAGGTCTGTAGCCTGCAGCAATAATACCAACGATGCGGTTCAGGGCTTTGGGCATCCACAGGGCCCATCTAGGGATGCTCCCCATCGAAGGTGCACACCCTAGGTCAGCTCAGAGCTGGGCTCGTGCTCATGGAGACCATGACCTTGGAGCCAGGGGAGATAGTCAGTGTCTTAGGCTCACCACAATTTTTCCCCTCCTGCAGCCCCTAGACTATGAGCGTATCCGACAGTACAGCTTCACCGTCGAGGCCACAGACCCCACCATCAACCTCCGCTACCTGAGCAGCAGCACCGCCAGAAACATCACCCGCATCATCATCAGCGTTACGGACGTGGACGAGCCTCCCGTTTTCCAGCAGCCCTTCTACCACTTTCAGCTGCGGGAGAACCAGAAGAAACCTCTGATCGGCTTGGTGCTAGCCACGGACCCAGACGCGGCCCGGCACAGCATTGGGTAAGAGTGGCCGGCTGTTGGTGGTGATATGACAATCCTGGCACTGTTGTTGTTATCCCTGTTGAACTGAGACAGGCTCGGAGAGGAAAGCTGGCTTCTCCAGGCATTCACATGAGAAGCGGCACGGGCCGGACTAGAGCCCTTGGCCAGGGGGGAGCTTGTCCTGTCCCTGTGTGTTCCAGGGACCCCCAGCTAACCTGTCACTGGCTATACCTTGACAGCTCTGTTCCTGGGGCCACAACTCCTACCTGCCCCATCTAGTAAGATCTGACAGGCAAGAAAACGACCAGGCAGATGTAATACCTGAAGCCCCTTCATTAGAAATATTTTATTAAATTTGTCTTCCCACAGATTTATAAAGAAAGCATCAGTAACCCCCACTCCCAGATAATAGCTTGCTTACTAGCTCCTGTGGTCCTATCATGATGGTAATAGATTGGCGAGTTCCTATCACACCTTTTGTCATGACCACACAAACGTATGTAGATCCATTTGTCGTGGATTGTTGTTGTTATTGTTTGGTTGGTTGGTTGCTTGTTTGCATGCTTGCTTGGTTTGTGGTTTTTATTGTTTTTCGAATTCTTTGGATCATACCATACCCACTTCCCTGCTACCTGCTCTTCTGTCTTAGCTAGACTTCCCTTCCCTACCCTCCGGGACAAAAAAATACAGTTCTAACTCATACGTTTTAGAGGCCCATAATATTTGATAGGAGCCCTGGTGGCACAGTGGTTAAGGCACTCAGCTGCTAATCAAAAGGTCAGCAGTTCAAACCCACCAGCCACTCCACAGGAGAAAGATGTGACAGCCTTGGAAACCCTATGGGGCAGTTCTACTCTGTCCTATAGGGTCACTACGAGTCGGAATCGACTCAACGGCAGTGGGTAATATTTGATAACCCAAAAACCCACTGCTATCGAGTTGATTCCAACTCATGGCAATCCTATGTGTTATAGACTAGAACTGCTTCACAGGGTTTTCTCAGGTATAATTTTTGCAGAAGCAGGTTGCCAGGACTTTCTTCCGGGGCACGACTGAGTGCGTTCGAACCACTAAACTTTCTGTTAGTAGTCGAGCGCAAACAGTTTTCATCCCAGGGACCTTTGAATATATGACTCTTCCATCTACATCCAAATAGATTCCTACCTATCTGCTCATAGTGGTCGCAAACCACTTGCGCCACCCAGGTTCTTTGTGCTAGCACCATTTACTAGCTAAGTCGCATTTCCCCACCTTTGCTATATACTAATTTCCTGTATATACCTTAATCTATTTCTGAATTCTCTATTCTATCTATCCATCTATAGCAAAGCCATTCTATTTTACTGTAGTAGCTTTATACTAAATCTTAGAATGTGTAAGACAAGCCCTTCCCTTGCTATTGTTTTTATTTTATATCACTTTTGTCTATTCTCAAACATACCTTCTTTAATATGAACTCTAAAAGTATTTTATCCAGTTAAAAAAATCAACTTCTAATGAGAAATGTGTTTACTTTATGCATCAATTTTGGCAGAGTTAATATTTATGTTATTAGGTCTTCTTATTAAGGTACAAAATATGTCCCCTCATTTTGGCCACATCCCATAAATTTGGGGGCTGCTGTTTTCATTTAACTCTATTCTAAATAGTCTATAATTATTTCTGTTTAATATTTGATCCAAGGATTTATTTGGAAGAATGATTTGGGTTTTGTTTTGGTTTTTGGTTTGGTTTTTCTTCATTTCCAAGTGGGAGGGTAATTTTGTCTTGCTTTAACTTGTATCTTTGATGTAATATAATTGTATTTGCATCCATTTTTTCCTAGAATATCTAAGATTTTGTTATATATATAACTTTATCCATTAAAAAATTACCAGTTTTTCTGTTTAAACATTTTGTCTTCAATTCCATGTCACCTGATATTCATTTTCCACTTCTGTTTTCATGTTACTCATGCTTGCCTGATACAAATTTTCCAACCTTTATTTTTAACTTCGCTAGGTCATTTGGCATTAAGGTGTCTCTTGAAAATAGAATGGAGTTGGGTTTTGCTTTTTAATCCAACCTGAGATGCTTTGTGTTTAACCTACTTACATTTTTCATCATAAATTATATGTTTGATCTTATCTCTTCTGTCTTGTTATACATTCTCTATTTCTCAAACTTAATGACTATTTTCTTACCCTCCCCCATCTTTGCTACACAGGCAATATTTTTCATTTTTTTCTCCTAGATATTTGGATAGAGTACATCTATTTTTACTTCTACCAGCGAGATTTACTTCGACCTGTTAAATTTTTTTTTCCTAAACTTATATTTGCTAGTTACCAATATTACACACACACACCAATGAAATAGCCATTGCTTTCCTATGTATGATAAATCAGGAGGTTAATTTTAATTTCTCCAAAACCAAGTTTTCACTTTATATTGAGACATTTGTTAGATGGATTAAGTCTTCAAAAAAAATTTTCAGGACCCATCTTTGTGGGTGATATACTTCCTTGCTCTTACATACGTACAAATACCTTAGTTCTTTTGCCTTCTTTTATTATCTGCATATGCTCATATAACCCTTAGATACCAGCTACTTCCCTTTAAAAATACTATCAATGTCTTCTAGCATTTAATTTTGTGGAGACATCTGAGGCAAGTCTGAGTTCTCTTTTTTGAAATAAGGAATTCATTTTTTTTGTCTGGATTCTTTTCAGTTTCTTCACATAGCCTTGATATTTTAAAGTTTCATCAGGATATGCCTAAATATGAATCTCTTTTTAAAGTTTTGCCTGATATCAATTGAACTCTTTCAATCGGTAGACTTGGACCTTTCTTCAGCTCAGGAAAGTTTTCTTTTATTGTATCTTTTTTAATTGCTTCTGTTCTATTTGTTCTGGAATTTTCCTCAGTAGTAGCAACTATCTGTTTTTCTATCGTGGGGTGTGCATGTGCGTGCGTGCGTGCGTGCGTGTGTGTGTGTGTGTGTGTGTTTTCCTCTCTCTTTTTCACCTCTTCATATCTTTTTTCCTGATTTTTGTAAAAACTTTTCAAATTTTTACTTCACAAATTTAAGTTCCTTTCAATAGCTTCTTGCCTCTTCCAGCTCCTTCTTTATTTCTTCCTAGCTCTTTTCATTAATCACATAAACTAATCCCAGCTGTGGTATTAGTTGATTATAGTGTCACCTGCCTTAGCTCTAAAAGTGCTATAGATGGAACCTCAGGCACCACCTTCAGTCCAGTGATGGCAACATTGCTAAAATCAAAGGACTTATCTACCCTTGAATCCTTCTGTGCTGATGTGTAGGTTCACTCATTGTACTGAATGGCAGACTACAGTGGGCAAGCAATGGGGGGGGAGGACAGAGAAGGATGCAGGGGACAGATCTGGAAGGGTCTTGTCTGTCATGCTGAGGAGTTTGAACCCTGCAAAGAACAATAGAAAACCATGAAACCCTCTCCCCTGGCAGATACTCCATCCGAAGGACCAGTGACAAGGGCCAGTTCTTCAGAATAACCAAACAGGGTAACATTTACAATGAGAAAGAATTGGACAGAGAAATCTACCCCTGGTATAACCTGACTGTGGAGGCCAAAGAACTGGATTCTAGTGGTGAGTGACCCCATCTGTCGGGGGCCTGGGCTTTTCTCCTCCTCCCGCATTCTTGCAAAACAGGCATCATCTGTCATTTCAGTCTCTAGAAGTATTATAAGCACCTGCTGAATCACCCCTTGGCTGAGATGCTACAGAACCTCCATTCCCAAGTGTGTTCCTTGAACCAGCACCATCTACATCACCTGAGACATCGTTAGAAGTGCAGAATCTCAGGTCCCACCCCCGAGTCAGAATCAGAATCTCATGCACATTATAGGTTGAGAAGCATTGTTATAAAGTAGGCTGCCCAAATGTTCCTGCGATGATAATCACCTAAGGCATTATTAAACACACAGCTTCTCAGGCCCCTCCTTGGAGGTTCTGGTTCCGTGAGCCAGAGATGGGACCAAGGAATGTCATTTAGCAAGTACCCCATGATTCCTATTATCAGGGATATCTGGTTAATGCTGCTTTGGGGTGGGGGGTGTTTATGCAACAGCACTGAATTCAAAATCTGAAAGGGCTTCCAACTCTGAGATTGTTAGGTTCTCCAGAAATTGGTGTAACCTCTGCCAGAGGGAAGGGCAAGGGTTGGGGTTTGGCATCCTTTACCAATATGAGAAAACCCCAACAACCCTCTGGGAGAAGGGCTAATATTCCCACTTTACCTAGAAGACCACCAGAGAGGGAATGACTTGGCCAAGGCCCCACTGATGCTACCCTGGAGAGCCCGTACCTCCTGCTGGACCACCCAGACTCACTTCCCCCAACATGGCAGCTGCACCCAACCATGAGGGACTCCTGGTGTTTTCCAGATCAGCCTGTGACCCTGTGACCCTTTCTTCCCTACCTAATCTTACCCACAGACTTTTTTTAACTTTAGAGTAATAATTGCTTATTTTAGAAGCCAGAAAAAAAAAAAACAGAAAAGAAGAAGAAAATTATTCCCCTATAATTCCACTGTTAGCATTTCAGTGTATTTTTTCTATATATATTTTTGCATAAGTGAGATCATAATATTTGTATAAAATATCATACCCTGCATTTTTACTTAACCTTATTCCATAACCATCTTCCCATGTTATTAAAATGTCTTCAAAAAAAATGTTTTTAATTACATTTAAAAGTTTCTTCATCTGGGCACTGTAAATGGCCACCAATATTCCATTCTGTTAAGTGGCATAATTTGTTAACCTAACCTCACATAGGTTGTTTACCTTTTTAATTCTTGGAAGCAATGCTTCAGTGAACATCCTTGTGCAGGAAGCTTGACCTCTGACTCTTTCACATCCCTTTCACCCAAGCACCATCTCTGGCCTCCCCTCCAGGGGTCCACCAGGCAGCTCCCCCCACCCTCCAGACTCCAGTCCACACACCCTCTACCCTTGGGGTTGGCATCAACTGAGCCCACTTTGCTGACAAATCTTTCCCCCCAAAGGGAACCCCACGGACAAGGAATCCATTGTGCAGGTCCACATTGAAGTCCTGGATGAGAACGACAATGCCCCAGAGTTTGCCCAGCCCTATGAGCCAAAAGTGTGTGAGCATGCTGCCCCAGGCCAGGTGAGTCTGACTGGGGTGGGAGGGCGAGGCAGTGCCACCCTGCAGCATGCTGAGGGGCAGTCTCTCCCATCCATAGTCTGCTGGGGTTCCACTGCTTTTAATGTCATCTGCACAACAGCCTTGAGGGAAGGTAACATTATCCCCATTTTACAAATGGAAACACTAAGGCTTAGAGAGAATTTGTGGAGGGTAAACTGAGGAAGACAGTAGAAAGAGAGGCTTTGCGGACCCCCCTTAGGTAGTGTTACAGGTTGAGCTACAGTCAGGCCTAAACCTCAAGTCTCCATCACTGAACCCCAAACCTCCCCAACCACCACTGACAGTCCCTTTCTTTCCTCACTCCAGCTGGTCGTGCGGATCTCAGCAATAGACAAGGATATAACGCCACAAGATGTGAGGTTCAGATTCTCCTTGAGCACTGAAGACAGCAACTTCACCCTCATGGATAATCGGGGTGTGCATCAAAGCAGTTGACTGGGTGCTTAGCAGGGTCAGGGGTGGGGCTATTTGAGTCTTGAAGAACTAGGTTCAAGGACCAGGCTAACAAACCGAGGGTAGGCCATCACTGGGATTTACAAGTTACAATTGTATTTCGTACAATTCCTGCCACCGACTTTTCTGGTCTATGCAATAGTCAGTGCCACCTCGGCCAAACTGCGAAGTCCACATGGCCAGCTATTCCTCCATAAGATGCTCAGATCAGTGAGGAATACAGAATAGGTATGGGGGCTGCCAGTCACATCAGTTCATGCACTAGCCAAGGGGCTCCTTCCCACGCTAGCATCTCTGTGCCTCACCAAAATTGCGAACAGTTCCATGACGTGGACCTTTGTAGTCACTCTCAGAGTCAAAACTAAAAATGTGAAATCCTAAATGCCCAGGATACACCCAATTTTGTTTTAATTCAGCTACAATGACTACTTACCACCAGGTGGCCCCAGAACAGGATCTGGTCCACCAATCACAGCCCAGAGATTCCTATGATGTCATTAGTGGCCAATCAGAGCTCCTAGTCAGTATGCACTCACTGGAATGATGATGGTGAGTTGATTGCCTTCCATGCCTGCCTCTGCAGCCCCCTCAGAAAAAGAGAGAAAAATTTACTTCATTTGGGTCTAAATGGAGCGAGACTTTCACCCAGCACAGGGCAGAATCCCTCTTTATTCCTATCGGCAAAACTATGGTTGATGAGGACCACTGTACTGAAGCAGCAATTGCCACCTTTGAGGAAGAGTTGAAGGTTAGGATCCCTGACAGTGAGAGACCCAGGCTAGGGAGCCCTGTGTCAGTTCTCTGGAACAGACCCAGGGAGATCAGACACAGACTCATCCTCAAGGAGTCTACTACTGCCTGCGAGATGGGGAATGAGGCCATGATGTGTTAACAGACCAGTCAATGTTTAGCTGCATTTATTAGCAAAAATACCTGTCACCCGATCTCCAGTGTCCACCTCAATCCCACTCATAAGGGGTTTTGCAATGGAGTAGAAAGCTTAAGTACCATCCCACAGACAGCCCGTGTGTGACCAGGAGGCATGCCTGTTGATCCCAGAGCAAGCCATGTCCAAGTCTCACTTAAATCTCGAATGCGCTGCATGTCAAAATCTAATTTCACCCATAAAGTGCCAATGGTCATATCATTTACCTTCAATTATAATAGACATGGCTACTTAGTAATGAAATGAAATCGGCTTTCATTTGAAAATCTTAAAAAATGGCCTCTTTTGCTTTCTGTTGACTTCCTCAATGTGCTGACTCTTGTGGCTAGATAAATCCTGGAGCAGGGGTTCCCTGACACACCCTTCTCTGACCATGGGTGTCAGAACCTCTTGGGAGCCTATAAAATGCAGATTGCCTAGCCCTCAGCCTAGAGCCACTGATTCCGAAGTGTGTGTGTGTGTGTGTGTGTGTGTGTGTGTGTGTGTGTGTGTGTGTTTCGGGGAGGTCAGGTAGGGGTCTAACAATCAGCATGTTTAAGAAACCTCTGTATTAGGCACAGATTGGTGCTGGAGACAGCAAAGGGGAAGGTGGCAATATTTGGGCTAAAGCACATTCCCCATTCCAGCCTGCCCAGAAAATCCTGTTACACACTCAACCATTCTTGCAGTACCCCAGGGAGCATGTGCATTGTTTTCACTGTTGTAAAACTCTTCTGTAATGATGGATTTTCAGGGATAGCAGAAACACCCTTAGAAGTTAACCCAGTGCTAAAAGACTTTGTAAAACTTTATTTTTCCCCTAATTGCTCACAAAGCTTGAAACAATACAATAATTAATTGAGTCAAAAGAGAAAGTCCCTGTAGTTGGAGTGGGATTAGGGAAAGAGAAAGAGTCAAGCCTATCGGTTGCCCAGAGAAACAGAAAGGAAGGATTTTCCATTCTAGCCAGCCATTTTAAAAGGCTGAGCCAGAGCAGCTGCCCAAATATCCCCTCTTTGGGGGAAAAGGTCTGAGCTCAAATGGCTGAAATATGAGGAAGAGAATACAAAGGGCAGAGAAGCAGTTCAAGCAGCACGTGAACTGATGCAATCAGGGAGGGCTCTCTGGAGGAGGCTGGCTCTGCCGTCTGTGTGGTTGAGGGAGCTGGTACTCCTGGCAGAGCTTGACTCTGTGGCTTTGGTGTTTCCAGACAACACGGCCAACATCACGGTCAAGTATGGGCAGTTTGACCGGGAGCGCGTCAAGGTCCACTTCCTGCCTGTGCTCATCTCGGACAACGGGAGGCCCAGCCTCACAGGCACCAATACGTTGGCCGTGGCGGTGTGCAAGTGCAATGAGCGCGGCGAGTTCACCTTCTGTGAGGAGGTGGCACCCCAGGTGGGCGTCAGCATCCAGGCGCTGGTAGCCATCTTCCTCTGCATCCTCACCATCATGGGTCAGTGGCGGGCATGGCGGGGGTGGGAAGGGGCACCGCGGGGGCTTCACAGGGAGGAAGAGAGGCCAGGAATCCAGGTCCAATGCTGCCTCCAGCCGCTGTGCAGCCCGGGGCCAGCGCCCAATCCTGGGCCTGTAGGATACAGGGGGGTGACCTCCACCTGCCTGGGTGCCTCTGTTCCACGAGGTGGGATGGAGGCGGGTGACCCACCAGATGACTGAACTAAGCCAAACGTTCTGTGTCATCAGGTCATGCAGGTGTCATTGGGAGTCTGGGCTGGCCCAGGAATTCCAGGGAGGTGGGGAGGCAGCAGGTGGGGCTCGGAGGGTGAACCTTGTGTAATTCGCGCTCTGCCGCCGGCAGTGATCACCCTCCTCATCTTCCTGCGCCGGCGGCTCCGGAAGGAGGCCTGTGCCCACGGCAAGAGCGTGCCTGAGATCCACGAGCAGCTGGTCACCTATGATGAGGAGGGCGGCGGCGAGATGGACACCACCAGCTACGACGTGTCAGTGCTCAACTCCGTGCGCCGGGGCGGGGCCCAGCCCCCGCGCACGCCGGACACGCGGCCGCCGCAGTACGCGCAGGTGCAGAAGCCACCGCGGCGCGGGCCGGGCGTGCACAGCGCGCCCGGCGAGATGGCGGCCATGATCGAGGTGAAGAAGGACGAGGCGGACCGCGACGGCGGCGGGCCCCCATATGACACGCTGCACATTTACGGCTACGAGGGCGCCGAGTCCATCGCCGAATCGCTCAGCTCCCTGGGAACCGACTCGTCTGCCTCGGACATCGACTACGACTTCCTCAACGACTGGGGACCCCGGTTCAAGATGCTGGCCGAGCTGTACAGCTCGGACCCCCGGGAGGAACTGCTGTATTAGGGGGGCTGGCCTTCCGGGCCTGGGGACCCAAACGGCCGCAGCCCGAGCCAGCCGGACACCAGGCATCGAGTTCTGGAAGAGTGGCACTGAGACCAAGTCCACCACCCCTTCCTCATGGATTCCAGGCTACCCCTGAGTAGCAAACTCCAGGCCCCTGACGCGTCCAGAACGTGTTTTGGTGGTCGCTACCCCCTAAATGCTGGAAAAGCCGGGCTGGTGTTCTGACTGGTCTCGGACTTCCCCACAACCCTCTTGCCCCCACTACGGGTCTAACCCAAAGACTTCCTCTGGCTCCTCAAGGCTGCAGTGCAAAGCAGCTTGGGCCCAATTGCAGTGATCCCTGACCCCTGTTGAGGCCAGTACATTCCCGGTGCCTGTCTGTTTGGAAACAAAGGACTGGACAGCCTGACCTTGGGGGCAAGACTTTCCGCAGCCCAGGTCCAGGGGAGACTGGGACTGCCTATCACAGCTGCTCTCAGGAGCCGCAGCCCTGCGCTATCCCTCCCCAGGCCTGTGCAGAGGAAGGAAGGGACCACTTGGCAGCTCCTGACCTCCAGTCCTGAGGTGACCTCACGTTGGAACTGTGCTGTACTGAGTGTTGAACGGTTCAACCAAATTCAGGGAAATGGCTTGTTGAGCTTCGAAGCAACTGTGAATTCATCCTGGAGGGGACAGTGGAGACTAAGTGTGACAGATCACAGGGTGAGGGCCACCTAGCCCCCTCTACACCCAGCTCCTCTGGAGAGGGATTGGAGTAGCTGGGACCCCATTTGACCCTCATCGATACCCCTCCAGTTTTGCTTGTGAGGTGGGGCAGATATTCATGGAGCAGATGACCTCTCCCCATCTCTGCCTTGCCCAGTCACCACTCCTTTCTCCCTCTCCCTCCCTCTCTCTGTGTCTCCCTCCCTCCCTCCCTCCCTCTCTCTCTCAACTTAGAGGCACCCAAGTTGTGGCCCGCAGCAACTCTTGCCAATGTCCAAACCCCAACACAGCTGCAGGACAAGCCATCTGCCTTTGCACGTTTTTGTTGCCACATCTCAGGAAACCCCAGCAGGGCCCGTCACTCAGGCCTCACATGCAGCGGAAGGCAAGGCCCCTGCCCTGTGCAAGCACTTGGGTTACCAGTGCATCTCCCACTTTCAGCCACATATGGAACATTCCACTGCAAACATGCTTTGGCAAAGTGGCATCTATCAAAGAAGAGGAGCCAAGGGAGGAAGTGATGTCTCCAGCTCACCCTTCGCCATGGTCCGAGACTCCTGCTCTGGCCGGGGCCCCACCCATTCAGGCCCTTTACACTGCCAGGAACCATAGATAACACTGACCTTTTTTTTAACCAGTAACTAGTTTTTCATAATGATGTTTTTTACTAATAATACTTACAAGTTTCTAGTTCTCACAAACATATAGAATAAGTGGGTTTTTTGCATAATAAACAGGTTGCTATTTAGGTTGGCAGTTTTAATTCAGGTTTTTTAGTTGGATAAACAAATTCCTGTAACTTTCTATTTCCTGTCATTGTAGTAATTGCTGTAGAGATAATGACTATATATTGACCACACTGGTGCATGGGGTGTACTGATTTTTAATACCTAAATAAAGAAATATCTTTAAATTCTTCCATTTCTGGGTCATTAAAGTATCACAAAGCTGAGAGCTCATGTGAAACACACACACGGACTCACACCACCACCATCACCATCATCAGAGGAACCAAGAGGGCAAGGGGATATTTGCAGTCAGGGTTCCACACTCACTACAGAAAAGGAAGTGGAGCAGAAAGCGGGACACCTAGTCCAGCCCCCTCTGCTGCCAGAGCCCCATGCCTTCACCCAGCCTCTGTACAAGCCCCCCACCCCAATCCCTAACCTACACAGCAGGCAGGACCTCTGGAAGCTGGGACCACAATACCGTTTGTATTTGCCAAATAAGGAATCAGCAGGATGAGATACATGAGGAATGAGGAAGGAACTCAGCCTCCAATTTACTGATTGACAGCAGTGATTCACTAACGGGCACCTTTTTGAGGCACGTGGACCCCAACATTGGAGTCTTGCCTGGAAAACCTCACAAAATGAGAAGAAGGTACCTCCTTGCTAGACCTCGGTCTTGAATTGAGGACTGGAGGGATACAGCCCACTTCAACAAGACCTCTGCTCCTTGACCTCTGCCAGCAGGATGTCCTGGACAGTGTCCCCAGAGAATATTTTACAAACTGTGGTCTAGACAAACACTGCTTCTTGGAGTTCTGGGGTCAGTTTGTCTCAGTTCCAATTTTTGTTCTTATTTCCCTTGTGATTTTTTTTTTTTTTATTGGTTATTTAGGAATATGTTGTTTAATTTCCATGTATTTGTGAATTTTCCAGATTCCCTTCTGCTACTGATTTCTGACTTTATGCTATTATGGTCAGAGAACATTATATGATTTCAGTCCTTTTAAATTTATTGAGACTTGTTTTATGGGCTAACATATC